TTCTGTGGACAGTAGAGGATACTGAAGTTCTTAGCAGGGAAGAGCTCTGGCTTTCCAACCTTATTGACCTGGATCCACCATATGAAACGCACTCCATCTGGCAACTGAGTACATCATACACAGTGAGAAAGAGAGTGAAACAAATGTTTACAAAACACACTTATTCTTACGAGATGAGGTTCAATGCGATATTCTCTACCCCGCTCTTTCTTCTTTAAATGATGGTCTTAACCCAGTAAGGGGCCTCAGGCTCTAATTTGGAAAGCACTGTCTGGAGGGACAAGCCTGTCTCAGTGGTCATGGTGGGAATACACTGGCACAGTCCTGTCTGAGAGCTTAACCTTCTCCTCATGAGGTGAAGCTCGTAGGCTGAAGGCCGTCACGCTGCACCAGGAGTCCTCAGAGCTGCCCGTAGTCACACAGCTGTTGTCTGGCCTCTGGCTGCCCTGGAGCCTTTATCGTCTGGTTCATAGGGCCTCTCCCGATTCTATCAGTGTGACAAGATTCTTCAAAAGTATTTAAAAAACTTGGCAGTCTTTTCTTAGTCTTCTTAGTGCCTTAGGAAGTTAGGGATGGAGAATAGTGAATCCCCCAAAAAGAGAAAGGAAACTTGGTGAGGGTGTCAGGAGGCTTCCTGAGACAGCATCTTCTCTCCCTGTGTTTTCCTGACTAGTCAGAGGGAGGCCACACTGCGGAAGAAACGTCTACACAGGTGTAAATATAAACCTGAAAATTGTTTGGGTCAAAGAATTTTAGATCAGTACAAAAGACCCAGGAAACCAGCTATGTATTTACCACTGTAACACATTACCTGGGCACTGAGCAGATGGGGTTATGGGGGAACAATGGGAAGGCACCCAGAGGTGAGTTTCCTTCCAACCCCACTGCCTGGCTCAGAACCTGACTCTTCCATTCAGGGCAGAGACAAGGAAAGTTGCTGAATTTGAGAGGCATAAATGTTTAAGTTTTCCCGGTGGTTCCTAATCGATTTTTTCTCTATTCAATAGAAGCCAGTCGTTGTCATGGCAACTGACACGCTCATTCTTAGAGGGTCATTTACCCCATTAATGTGGCTTGTTCTCCGCATAGGATGCATGCTTCCACAAATAGCCAGGAGAGAGCTCTCATAGGAAAAGGTACACCCTCAGCCTAAGTTAAGGCTTCAAAGGACTTTGCTGTATTTTTCTGAATGGCTGGTAAAACCATGATACCCAGATGATACCCTGTTGAGAGTATCATCACATACACAAGAGGTCGGGAGCTGTTTTTAAGTGTCATCACCATATCTTGGCAGGTGGCTCAAAATTACTGCTTGATGACTTCGTTATGATCAATTCTTAGTCAATTGTTATCCACATACAGCATTTGCTCATCCTGATAACGGTGCTCGATGGCCCCGAGTTGTAACTGAGCTTTTGAAATTCTCCTATGGCAGCTGCCTTTGCCAATCTGATTTAATTCACCAAAAACATTTACTAGGTGTTTTCATTGTGTCAGGTACTGGGAATACAGTGACCAAAAACCCTGCCTTCCAGGAACAAACACTGTAGTGCCAGGGACAGGCTATTCAGTGGTCCTCTTTACCCGAGGGAAATATGTGCCAAGACCCCCAGTAGATGCCTGAAACAGCAGATAGTACCAAACCCTGTATATACATGATTTTTCCTACACATACAACATAACTATGGTAAAGTTTAGTTTATAAATTAGACACAGCAAGAGATTTAACAACAACTAATAATAACAGAGCAATTGTAACAATATAGCGTGATAAATGTTATGTGAATGTGGTCTCTCTCTCTCTCTCAAGATATCTTATAGTACTGGACTCGCCCTTCTTGTTGTGATGACATGAGATAATAACCTGCCAAACCTACCCCTGAGTCTGCACATCCTTAACTGCACTTCCATAGAGGCTCAGTGGGGACCTTGCTGGACCCCCACACAGGCTCAGTGCTGTCTAACACACCTGATGCTGTTGGTTCTGATCCCTCTTCCAATTATGCATCTTCCACCCACAAGCTGGATGCCGTCTCCATCTCAGGAAGCACTCAGTTTTTTTTCAAGTTTGTATTCATCAAGCCAACTCATCAAAGTTTCTGAAGTTGAAGCCCGGAGTCTACATTTTTTACAAACAACCTTCTGATTTTTATACAACAATAAATATTTACAACACTGACTAAGATAGTGAGGATGGGAATGTTTGGAGATGGTAGGGAGTTGTCCCAGAGCTGAACTTTATCCTGTAGCTGGTATTATTTTTCTCGTGCATGCTTTTATTTTTATTTTTAATATTTTTATTGCCCGGCCAGGTATGACTCAGCGGTTGAACGTTGACCTAGGATCCAGGTGATCGGGGTTTGATTCCCGGTCAGGGCACATTCCCAGTTGCGGGCTTGATCAATGACTCTCTCATCATTGATGTTTCTCTCTCTCCCTCTCCTTTCCTCTCTCTGAAATCAATATATATTTTAATAAAATTTTTAAATAAAAAAAATATTTTTATTGATTTCAGAGAGAGGAAGGGGGAGGGGGAGAGAGCAACAGCAATGATGAGAAAGTCACTGATCGGCTGCGTCCTGCACGGCCCCCACTGTGGATAGAGCCCCCAGCCTGGGCATGTGCCCTGACCGGGAATCGAACCACAGTCCCCTGGATCATAGGTCGGTGCTCAACCACTTAGCCATGCCTGTCAGGCTTGTACACACTTTTAATATTTACTATAGATGCATGTACCTCTAACAATATATAGCAATGCTTTAGATATTCATTTTATATCAAATTTACAACATAGTAGTAGTTTATATATGTATAACTTCATAAGTGAAGGTTTAAATGCAAAACAGTTAAATATTAAATGAGAAAAAAAATTAGGAGCAATCATTAAAGATATAAACTTTCCTAAAATAGAAATAATTTAAGTGGGAGTAAGAACAGAGAGAGGTCTTGGTGGAGGGGACGGATTGTAGATGGAAGATGCTTGAACCACTTTTACAGGCTCTGAACTGGCAGCAAGTTTAGACTCTGACGTTTCCCCCAAATCTAGTCAGAAACACAATGGCAGCAGAGAAACTAAAACTGCTTCTAGGAAGAAGTGATTGTTTTTTAGGGATTATCTGTAAGGACCTGGCATTGGAAGGTGTATAATCTGCATTAATGTTCCCTCCTAAAGCAAATAGACATGAGTCCCTGAGCCTCTCTGTTGAAACATGGTCGTGATGTCATGAGCGTCAAAGGCTGGACCCCAGGCCCACCCTCCACTCTCCCCCGCATCCAGCACAGGCCCTGGGAGGGTTTCTGACCGTTGAAAACTGTTCCTATGTGGTCAGCTCTCCCAGCTATAAAGTTTTCCTCTCTCCGTTTGCCATTTAATGGCTTTTGTGTTTTGCTGATTCACCTGAAAATATTTATTAAACACCTATAATGTTATTAGGGAATCATAAAATATGCATTGTCCCCCTCATGGACCTTAATCTGTGGTCTCTCAGAAACACAACAAAATGTCAGGAATATGTAAATTAAGCAGGGCTGGGAAACATCAAACCAGGTGGAAGCTGGCAGAGGAGTTGCCTGGCGCTCTGCAGGTTTCACTGCTTCTGTTAGGAAGGACACAACAGCGATATACTGAGGGAACCGTTTGTCTCTCAGATGAAGGTGGTACAGTTAGAAATATAATTACTTCCCAAAAGGTCTAATGAGTCAGGGAAAGCAGATCCATCCTGGCAAATGGAGGGAGTTAGGACTCTGTGGGACATTTCTGTCCACTGAGGACAAGAGCTTGGGCACATGGATGCACAGAAGTGAAGGGACGTGCTCTCCTCTCTCTCGAGACAAGATGCCCTTCTCTGTGTAGCTTCCCTTTTCCCAGTGTGCACAGAGATGTGTGTGCAGACACGTACAGGCACAAAAAGCACTGACCCTTTTTACCTGTTTTATGGCAGAGAAACGGGAGGGACAGAGACCCATCAGCTGGGTAGAGAATGCCCCCATGCCATGGGCCAGCTAGACGAGCCAGAAATCTGAAATTTTTCCCCAACTTTACTGAGATATAACTGATTTTTAAAATGTTGGTTCAAAATAAAATGTTTAAAGCCTGGGGACCAGATATGACCCACAGCAGGGTTGGGAAAGGGAAAGAATGAGGGACGGTGCCCCCACAGGACACTTACATGAGCAGAGCGGCAGGGACTCGAGCTGAGTCTTCACCTGACAGGAGGCACTTTTGGCTGGAATGGGCGATAGGGGCTGTGAGCACATGTCTGGAAGGGGTTTGCTAGGGGAGTCATAGGTGGGATGTTACTGCCAGGCTGTGGGGCTTGGGTTCTGTTCAGCTGAGTCAGAGGAATCGTTTCACGGGCAGGTTCCAGGAGCAAGCAGGTGGCTTCTTTCCTCTGTGTTCTGAATCCAAGCCTTTCCCTCATAATGAGGACTCAGGGGGCAGGCCAGGGAGAAAATCCCGTCTACCTAGCCTAAGTTTTGTCAAGGTCTTGGAATGACCCTTGCATCATTTCAAAATCCTGACAAGGCAGAAGCCCCATCTGTCATTCCTGGCTAAGGACAAGCACTCCTACTAGAAAACTTGACCGTTTTTTAGCAATGTAAAACTTTGGCTGAGCTCCTGCTCTTCTCTGTCCCTTTGGTCTGTTTTCTGTGTCCCTTCATCAGGCAATGGAGCCTCCACAGGCCTATGGAGCCCTCCTCCCAGAGTCCGTCTGCAGGCTCAGGCCCAGCGTGCTGCCAGCTAATCCGGCAGTATGTCCTGCGGCTCAATAGCCCTGAGTTCTGGCCCCACATCACCCCTGGCAGCAGAACAGCCTTTCCTCGCTGCTCTGGTGCATCAACCAAAGAGAAGGCGGTGACAGGGGCTGCAGGTTGAATCTGGAGGTCGGAGGTCTTCTCCTGCAGCAGTTTGGGAATAAACACCTGAGGACAGGTCACAGGTTTTTGACAATTAGAGGTGGAGATGGACTTGTGCATATGGGCTTAGTAGCTGCTCTCTTTCTGTACAAGAAAGGGCAGTGAGGGTTTTCCCGGAGTTGTGATTATCACCCTTAATGCAGTGCAGTCTCAGGCAGAAGAGTCCCCTGTGAGCTGCTGTGACAGTTCAAGACTCTTCAGTCACCTGCCACCTCAGTAAGTGGCACCTTCAGCCTGAAGGTCCTGTTTGCCGCCCTGTGAGTATTGGTTTGAAAAGGCGCCAAACTGCCCTGAGACCTAGCACTCACCGGTGTTTCAGGGAACAAGAGAGCAGCGCCAGCGGGCCAAGCAGAGTGGGGCTCACATTTCTCACATTCCCCAGAATGTCCTCCCAGATGAGCAGCTGCTCTGCCACGTCCACTGAGACTAGAGCAAAACGATGGGCGGAAACACTGTCGGGAGGGCTGGTGTTGATCATGAGGAGACACTTTCTGACTGACAGAGTCCCCTGTCAATGAAATGGTTTCCCCAGTAGAGCATGAGGTTTCCTTTTGGAGAGACCTCTCATGGGAAACATACATTCTCATTCATTCAAGACAGTGATTCTTTTTTAAAACAAATAACCTTATTGAGATATAATTCACACACCATGCAGTTCACTCATTTAAAGTGTACAGTCTTACCCGGCCAGTGTGTCTTAATGGTTGAGTGTTGACCCATGAACCAAGAGGTCACCGGTTCGATTCCTGGTCAGGGCACATGCCTGGGTTGTGGGTTTGATCCCCAGTAAGGGGCATGCAGGAGGCAGCCAAGCAATGTTTCTCTCTCATCGATGTTTCTTTCTATCCCTCTCCCTTCCTCTCTAAAATCAATTAAAAAATATTTAAAAAAACGAAGTGTAAAATTTCGTTCTTAGTATACTCACCTAGCTATGCAAGCTTTACCACAATAAATTTGGAGCATGTTTATCACCCCAGGAAGAAACCCCGTGTCCATTAGCATTCACTCCCCATTTTCCCCAATACCCTATTCCAGCTCTAGGTGACCACTAGTCTATTTTCTGTCTCTGTAGATTTGCCTGTTTGGGACATTTCATACCCACCACTGTTTCACAGGCCCTGGCTCTACTCAAGGTCCTTCCCCTCAAGTCCTGTCGTTGTTCACTTAGATGTTAATGACAGGATACATAGTAGCCAGTACAGTTCAAACTCAGAGGAGCCAACTGACTAAATATACAGTATTATCACCAAATTAGACACTTTGACTCATGAGAATTGGTTTTTCTCTACCCTTGAATACTATTTAAGAAAATAAATATCTCTGGGTTATCAAAGGGATTTTGATATGCATACAAAATGTCCTCTGCCCCGGGAGCTGGGATGAACTCATAGGATTTAATCTTACTGAGTCCATGTGGCTCTGAGATAGGGCCAGATGTACCCAGAGGATTTATAGGGTGTAAAATACAGACTGGATTAGGAAAGTATCTCTGTGTTCAGCCTTGTACGTCCTAAATCAATGTCCCCAAATGGACCAGAGCAATCCCTGGCTGGCCTGGTGGAGAGGTTGTCATAGCAACTGACTGGCAAGACCAGCCAGGGGAGTGTGAATGGAGTGATAGATTGTGTCCAGAGCAGCATACAAATCTCCCTCGGCCCAGGTGCAGTGACACAGCAGTAGAAGTGTGAAACTGTCCCTGCGTTTTCTTATACTTGTGATTCTGGAAGCTCATTTGAAATGTATCAAAGTGTCCTTCCCCAGATGTTGGTAAAAACAGTGCTGCTGATAGACGACAGGAGCTATGGAAAAATTACCACCAACAGATGCAAGGCTGTGCAAAAAGCCCTGGAGGGCTGCTAGGCTAACACCATGCAATCATTTCCTGCCCGAGGCCTGAGCAGCTTGAGGGAACTCCAGTGATGCGTTAGTGCCCCCTAGTGTCCGTTCAGATACTGGACCTTTACCAAAGCCACCCTCCACCCCACCCCTTCGTTGGCTACAGGGAAAGCTGGACCACGGTGGTGTCGATCCCCTTTGCAGCAGAATTTGCACAGGAAATCTAAGTTTCAATTTAAAGAAAAAAATTAATTATTTTGGTATAATCCAAAATGGGGGTAAATGCCAAATAATATCAGTCCTAGAAAAGATTCCAGGAGGCTATGTGGTAGCCAGGGTTGGGGGAAAGGAAGGAAAGACAAATTCAGTGTTGAGGTTTCTTAATGTTGCCATTACTAACTCTGGCCAAGGGATTATTTTAGCCTATTGAGCCATGCTGGTACCACGAATGAATTGATAGAGGGTAGAGACACTAACACTTGAGCATCACTGAGTCCTAACGTTTGCTGAAGTGGCAGCTTGTGTCTGCCTCTGTCTCCCCGAACCAGACCCACCACCCACCCCTGTTCCACCATCACCATTCAAACCACAACCCAGTCCCTTCAGAATCAGCAGAAAGCAAAATGACCAAGCTGTGCTTCCTGTGTCTCTTGTAGGGTTTGAGTTTTTTGAAACAAGTGCCAAGGACAACATTAACGTCAAGCAGACCTTTGAGCACCTCGTGGACATCATCTGCGACAAAATGTCGGAAGGTTTGGAGACCGATCAGGCTGCTGCCACAGCTGCGAAGCAGAGCACGAGGCTCACGGAAACCCCTCCCCCGCCGCAACCCAGCTGCGGCTGCTAACTTCTCACATGGGCAGCTCCAGGGCTTGTTCACCAACCAACAGCATTGACGAAAGGCCATCGGCCTGCATTTATCCTGCCTAAAGTCACTTGAGGGAAATCTTTGATGTCAATGGCTAGTCCATGCATTGATTTCTTGGGAGACTCCCTGTGTTGATATGTGGCAAACCCCTGATCTTAAATTCATGAGGACTCACGAACCACAAACATCTGGTATTTGCATGTGATGTGTTATTTGTCTTGTAGGGTCTTTATATTTCAGATTTCTTCTCAGAGTAAGCTACTGCTGGGACCTCAGACTATAATTTCACCACTGTTGACTTTTGTGCTGTGGGTTCGAGTTACACTTGTCGCTGGCGGGGATGATAACCAAGGAGTGTTTGTGGTGAGAGGGGCAGCAGGGAGATCTCAGGAGACCTTATCTGCTTTGCTCTTAATTGAAAATCAAGTGGACACAGTACTCATATTTTCTGAGTAACTTACCAGTTTTCTAGGCAGGTCACTGCACAGGGAATGTCTCTTTCAGTATTATTAATAACTGGGGAAACCACCATCTGTAAAGAAATAGAAATATCATGTTTAAGGCCCTTGCAAGTTTCCTAAAACATTGATATTTACCTTATTGGAACTAGGTTTAAACAATAATCTTAGTTTAGATGGTTAAATAAGGGTCACCCTGACCCAGGACTGCTCTTCCCACTCATGCTTCCTGACATTCTGGACATTGGAGGGTACTGACTGTCTGAGAGGAGTCTGCTGAAGGTTATGCAACAGCTGTCTTGACCAATAAGGATGTGAGTAGCTGTAGAATTCCAATGCCTAAGTTCCCCCATCACTTTGCTAGCTAGCCCCCCATAACACGCACTAGCCCCCATAACACGCACTAGCTCTCATAACACCCACTAGCCCGTTACACGCACTAGCCCTCATAACACACACTAGCCCCCATAACACACACTAACCCCCATAACACCCACTAGCCCCCATTATACACACTGGCCCCCATAACACGTGCTAGCCCCCCATAACACACACTGGCCCCCATAACATGCATAGCTCCTTAACACACTAGCCCCTCATAACTTGCACTAGCATCATGACCTTCTGGAATCATCGCCAACCTGGAAAGCTCGCTAGAATCCCTCTTCCCATAGGGCACAGGCTCGCTCCCAGCCACTTCCTTTCTCACACATGCCCAAGTTTTATCTATTTAGAAGTTATGTAAACAGCATCTCAATGACTCCCAGTTTGGGAAAAAGACCATTTTCCTCTCTAATCCTTTTCAGTCCAGTTGATCATGATTCTCAATCACATCCCCATCTGTAAGCCTTAAAACCTGCTTCAGTTACTCAGAGATTTGCCGGAATTGAGAGCCAGGAGACACTGCAGGCTCCACCAGCAATGTGAGGGGAGGAAGGAAGCCAAACCTGTCAACATGGATTCTTCCCCAGACTTCCCGCCCTCCAGGTGTGAATAGCAAGCAGTCTCCGCAGCTACCCTAACTGCACTGGAGGGAACTGGTGTCATGTCACCGCCCAGCCTGTGGACAGCGAGACAGTAGGAAGGCGGCCAGCACCGTGTGGCAAATCAGGACAGCACGTGAGTGCTCGTATTAAAGATGCTTTTCCACTTTTCTAAAGTAGAGTCTTCCCAGAAAGTAAGGGTCGGTGTGAGTTTCTTAGGCAAGGCTGTTGACAGGGAAACATGCCTGCAGTCGGGGAGCAGGCCTGTGCTCTCAGTAAGTTAGAAGACGGAGGTGCAGGAAAGAGCGTCTGGGATGTTCTCAGCATGCTCACGCTATTTCCCCCACTTTGAGGCTAAGATACGCTAGTGGGTCGTACATTTTCACTTCAAGATCCATGAGGCAGGCCTTAGCTTATGAGGACAAGGAAATGCTAAATCTTTATTAGCTTGTCATGGGCAGCCAGCTTAAAAAATGCCAGGTTAAAAGTGAAGGGAAAGAGAAGGTGGGGACCAGAGCAGACATGTTTGCTGCCAAAGCCCGTTTGCACGATGCTGTAGTATTTTTATGCCCTGGACTAGATAGGGGCTGTGTTAAAAGTATAGCTGGTGAGGGAGCATCTACAAGGCACTAGGAGGTGAGGCCCGGAAGACATTCCTGTCCTCCCACAGCACCCCCATTCAAGGGCGTAAATACAGTGTTTCAGAAGGACCTGGACTAGTGTTATGTAAAATGGAAAACAAAATGAGAAAGGGTAGGGAAGTGGAAGGGGAGGGTTGGGTTTTGCTTTCTTGTAAACTTTTCCCTGAAGAACTGATCACCAGTGAAGTGAATTGGCCTGAGTACGAGAAGAATGGAGCCAGGAGCCCACAGACATGCTTCAAACGTGCCAAAGTCGGCTGCTTTGTGTCCATCACAGGATGATGATTAGACAACAGCCCTAGTGTCTTTGCCAAGGAACATTCAATAAACTCCATCTTCCAAACCTCCATGGGAATGGAGCCTTCCTAACTGATTGTCAGTTCCATGTGAATTTCATCGAGTGAGACATTTCCAGGGAGGATTGTCACAGAGACACTGGTGTTTCTTCTGTAAAGCACATGGGAAGAGACAATATTCTCTGTTCCTGATCTCATCAAGAGACCCTGGTTTTAAAGTCAAATTTGGCAAAAAGGGAACCAGCCCAGGGTTAACTAAGTGAGCTTCTGTTTATTGGCATCAAGCTATATTACTTATAAATTATAACACTGTACTTCCAAGGGTTTTCAGCCTTTGGCCAATGTGTGCAGGCCCCCACACAAGCACAGATATGCACGCACACACATGCACACACATAGGACACCTCCTACGTTCTCCCTACCTGCCCACAGCTTTAATAACCACAGGTCGTTTTTACTAATGGCCTAACTAAACGTATAGTTAAAAGATCAAGACACTTTAAAATATATGCTTGTTAGTTTGTAAATGTTAGACATCCATTTTTATGTCTTTGATATAATTCAATTAGTGTTTCCACTGAATTTCTCTCCCTCTTGACCCCCATGCCCTCATTATTCCCTTCCTCCACAATTACTTTTAGAAACAAACCTTGATTGTTTTGAGTAAATGTTTCCAAGAGCTTTGGTTTGGGCACATTTCTTTTGTTTCTAAGGTAATTGAAAAACTGGACTGTAAGTTGTTTTATCACAAAGTCATCATGGAGGGGACCCGCATTCCAGCCTTCTGGGACGTGAACAGGGTGGAAGGTGCATGATGTTTCCTAAGCCCTAAAATGTTTGTAGGCATCACACCTACTGGCTCACAAGAATAATCACTTTGGGACAGTGAATTTGTTCCCTGCTGCTGCTCCCACCCAACAGCTTCTGTTGCTTTGGTGAAATTACAGACCCTGAGTTCCTCCTCAGGTTCACTCAGCCACGTCCCTTCGCTGCCTGGTGACTGGGTGCTTAGACCTGCATCTGGAAGAGGAGGTGGGAAGATGCCTGTCGCAGCAGAAAGCTGCAGCTCTGCAACCATGAAATGAAGCATAAATTCTACAGAATTATACCCAGGTTATACAAGGCATCTGTGTACTCAATAAACACCCATATATTTCAGCTCCCTGACTTTTACCAAGATTGATGACAAGTTTTATGTTTGGCACATTGGTTATTTTTCAGGAACCAATTCAGACGTCCAATTTTAATTATGTGTATGCTGAGAACAGACTTTCAGGTGTGCAATGTTTTTTTTAAAAGTAGACTACAGTCCACTCTTAACTTCCATGAAGGAATGTTAATGTTCTTGCAGGCATCGGTGGGACTATTAGAAATGTTTCCAGATTCTGCCAAGCTCTCTCAGGGCTGAGGTAGTAGCTGCATGTGGAAAACAGATAACATCGTAAAGTCATGACTAAAACACTTCTGGACCAAAAAGTGTTCGTTAATAATTTTCACATAGTATTGAAATGCTCAATAGGGTATCTTTGCTGTGGCAGGTTGGGAGGTGGCCTGTCTCTCTGTCTGAAGAATACTCTCTGTACATTAGAGTTTACGTGTGTGGTTCCTGGACTCTGTTCCCTGCATGCACCTCAGCGTGCTCTCCAGTCACCCCTGGAAGATGCAGCCTCCACAGCTCTGCGTAGCTTTGTCTGTTTGTGTACAGGATTTGCACTTCATGGTTCACCAGTAAAATGGGGAAGTCTTGCTGAGGAGATGACTCTCAAGGTCAGCTTTTTAGAGTCCTTTACATTTTAGGTGAATTTTTACCAAAGCCAGTTAAAGACAAGCCTGTCTTGTGTTCTGGAATGAACTGAAACAAATTTGGTGAAAGATGAAGTTTATGAACAGGAAAAAAGCATCGTTATTCCTACGATGTCCCTAAAGGGCTCTGGATTCCAGAAATATAGTCTCCCCTACGGGGCAAAACCAGGTCTGGGGAATTTAACTAAAATAGATCTACCTACTGTTATTGGTATCTCATAAATATATGTAGTTTTTTCTCGAAAACCTTCACAGAAATGCTTGACACTAGTCAACTAGTATTTCCCTTTGGTAGATTAAAATATTTACACTTGGGCTACAAACATAGTGTTGCCTCTCCCAACACAGACACACATGCACACACACATGCACACACAGATAGAGACATACACATGTGCACATACACACCTTTATATGAAGGGAAATATCTGTATATGGTGCTTCCTCAGTGCCAGGAAGAAGGGAGCTTTTGCTCATTCCAACTGTAACTCACATTTGTTTAAAAAGGTCTGTGAAATAGATTCTTTGCACTGATTTGTGTGTCTGTGCACATAGTTGACTCCCATTAAAAAGAAGATAGAGTGAAAATACATTTTGCAAATGTTCTAGACAAAATAAATGATTTCAAAGCCTCTGTCAGAGCTCGAGTATTAAGACCAGAGCATCTATTCAGTGGACAAATCCAACTTTTCTATTTATAGTTCTCTTTCCTCCTTCCTGGATGTTTATCATTTTAGTGTTTTAAAGCACTATCCTCACAGAATGACAGGACTAAGAATAGGACATGACATCAAGTTT